TGTGAGACAAAGCGTTGTCGGGGCAGCCTCAGGGGGAGGATGACGGCGTGCCAGCGAGCATGTGGTAGGCCGCTGAGGAATTGGAAGCCGTCCAGAGTGCTTGATGTAAGTGTCCACGATGGCCGTGAGCCGCAGGGGGTTGGTCTGGGGTTGTCTGGTGTAGGTGGGTTGTGTGATTTGGTTGTGACGGTGTGGTGGGAGGGAGGCGATCTCGGGAACGAGACCTATCTCTGCAACGGAATCGGCGAATGAGTGGTGGTGTGTCGGTGGGTGGTGGTATGGCTGAGCCACGTTGTAAGGTGGCTGCGGAAAGGAAATTGGTTTGTTGTAGTGGGATGTCAAGTGTGGGGTCTATGCGGTAATGGCCAGGGGAACCTGGTGAACCAGGAATGAATTGCAGCCTGTTGAGCCCACGTTGGGCGTCGTGGGCGGTGTTGATCAAGTGTCGCAGGGTGTTGCGCAGCTGCAGAAAAAGTCTGTAGGCTGGTGTGTTGGTGAATGTAGACATTGGAGGGATTGGATCCTGCACAATTGGGTGATGTTGAAGATCCTCAACAAGTGAGGTGATAGCGCTGATCATCCAGTGGAGCAAGAGTAATTCGGGCTGGTGTGTCACTGATGGGGCCAAGCATGGCATTGGATTGTCCGGTAAGTAGTATCTGTGGTGTGTAGTGGGTGGGTCAGAGGAGATGGTAGTTGTCGCTGAATGGGGAGGTAGTGTGGTTCGTAAATCATCGCTAGGCATCATCTCACAGAGGCGGCGAGCAGTTATGGAAAAACAGTTCGGTCAAAAGGCTGCGGGAAACATGGTGACATGCTATGCTAGAGTGAGCCTGAGGGAATGAAAAACCGAAGGTTCCAAAAAGAATGGCAAAAGCAGAAGGACCTGAAAACAACTTGTCACTGCATGTCAAAGGATTTGTCCTGCGGCACGCCGGAGAGAAAGCGGGGTGAAACGGATCATATGAAATAACGCGTGTGTGGAGATTTCTCCGGATGACTGTTCTCACTAGGCGCTCGCTCAGCAGCCGGCGGCAGCAGCACAGCAGCTGGAGGTGATCGATGTGGTGAAGTCGGTGGTGTTGTCTTGGGAGAAGGGGAGAAATCCGGTTGTGAATGTGGTGGTGGGGAAAATGCTGGTGAAGGTTCTATTTGTAGTGGCGTGGAGGAGAGTTGCTGGTCTTGTAGATGTTGCATGTCTTTGAGTTCTTGCCATCGGGCTTGGCATTGCTCGACGGAGAAACCCACTCGGCGAGCAACAGAAACCCAGTTGGGACGGAGTCGAGGGTTCCCTTTGAGTTCAACCAGGCGGCAATCACCATGCGTCCCAGTCTGCTTGCTGGTTCGGTGGTGGTGGTAGTGGTTGCTTACGCTTGCGTGTTGTAGCAGGTTGTGGAGCTGGGGCTGTTGATGGTGTGTCGTCGGAGTCTTTTGAGAGTGGCGCTGGTAAGCGGATGGGTGGTCGAGATGGTGCTGAATCGCAGGAGGAGGTGGTGGACGGCAAACGTATAGGGTGAGTTGGCGGAGTTGGTAGTGGCTGAAAATGTTGGCGGAAAGTGGGATCCGCTTGGTGGATGTGGTGGAGAAAGTGAGTGTGAAGGTGTGCGACAATATCTGTTGCTTGTCGGAGCAGGTTTTGGACCTGCGAAAGTACCACAGCGGTCTGATGTAGGAGAGTTTGGGTGTCATTGTGTGGAGGTGTCAGTGTGCTGCTCATGACTTGGAGATAGAGGGATGTACAGTCACACAAGGTCGTCACAGGTTGCTGCGGCAGCGCGCCAAGGCAGCAGGACGGCAGCTGGTCAGCAGGAGCACGTCATCACGGGGCCGTGCATATGAATTAAACGAGCGTCAAATTCCCGCGGGCGTGGTGCGAAAAATGCAGGTCCGACTGAAAGATCAAGTGCAGAAAACTCCAACATGTGAAGAAAACTTCATCCAAACAGCAAGTGAAATTCGGAAAGAGATTCTGCAAAACGAAACCCTCAAAGCTTGAAAAGTTGAAAGCGCAAAATTCGCATGACCGCTGTAAAGGGCTTTTTGCTGCTATAGGCGAAGGTTTGTGTGGTGGTGTGAGACAAAAGGTGGAGGTAGAGGTGGTAGTAGTGTGGAGGTGTTGGACGGTGGTGTTACATGTCGGGTGGAGTGGAGTCAGTGGACAAGGCCAGTCCTTTGACGATGGCGTGGTCCGGGTGGGTCACCCAGCAGCGGCCCTTCTGGTGGAAGACGGCGCCGTGGTAATCGTTGAGGAGGTTCATGGCATGTTCCTCCCCTCCGGAGGTGTATTTTGTAGCGGCGCCCCAAGCAAGGAGTGTGATGATGAGGGAGTGGGAGTTCTTGTGGAGTTGCCAGGTGTTGTGGATGATGCGAGCAAGTTCGCTCTGATCATGGGGTTGATTGTGGGTGATGCGGACACCCTGGGCAAAAAAGCCAGGGTAGTTGGCAAAGTGAAGTGTGCTGGGTAAAAATCGACCTTGGCGTAGAATGTTGGCAATGTTGCCGACCGGGCCTGTGTGGCCGGCGTTGATGTGGGCGACTTCCCGGTGGGTTGAAGTGGCTCGGGAAACCGCGGGTGGTTCAGGTGTGGTGGCCTTTGTGTTGAGGAAAGGAAGTGAGATGGCGTAGTATTGGAATTGGTCATATTGGCGAGTGGTGTCGTTCCACTTGGTGTGGGTATATTGCCGGAAATCGGTGATCTCCTTGTAGGTGATGTTGCAGTCGGTGAGGAGATTGGCAATGTACTGGTGCTGTGGTCGGTTGGGGGTGTCGAGTTGGTTGGCGTGGAGTTCGAACCATTCTAGGAGTTGGTCTGCAGGTGAAAAAGCGTGAAAGTTGGGTGGAGGTCGCCAACGGTTGATTGGGCGACGAAGGACTGCTGTGGTGGGATATTGAGAGGGGTCGGTGTTGGTGTGTTCAGTGTTGGGGCGTAAGTCGATGGGTTGTGGCGAGCGGCTGCGGGATGGTGTAAGGCTGTATGAGTAAGTGGATGTTGAGGGTGAACGGCGTCGCCGGGTTGTGCTGTGGTGCTTTGAGTGGCGGTGATGTCGATGCCGGCGGCGGTGGTGGTGGCGGCGTCCTCGGTGGTGATGATCGGACTTGCGCCGGCTCTTGTGGTGGTGGCGGCGACTGCTGTGTTGTGGCTGTGGGGAAGGTGGTGGTGGTGCCGGTGAGGCGGTGCTGTCGGGCTTGTCTGTTGCAGGTAGTGAAGGCACAGGAGCTGGCGGCGCTGATGCAATGGATGGTGATTCGGAAGGTTGGGAGCCAGTGGCTGGAGGGGTCACGTTTTGGACCGGTATTGAAGGGTCCGTGGCTGTTGTGGTGACGTGTTGGACCAGTGGTGTGGGGTCCGATGGCGCCTGTTGTGGGAGTGAGGGTTGAACTGGTGGTGGGGCGCCGATGGCTGGTGGAGGGGGCGGCGGAGGCAACGGTTGGGGTGGAGGCTGGCGCATTGTGGGTCTGTGGATGGATGATGGGCAACTGCTGCTTGTTGTGGTGTTGGAAGGGGGTGTGTCTGTGTAGTGGGGGTAGGTTCAGCAGGTGGTGTGGGATGTAGTTGTGGCAACATGTATGAAGGGGAAGGTGCTGCGGATGGAAACACTGGAGTTGGGTGTGTGGGTTGCGGTGGCAGTTGAGATGGTTGCACAAACGTCCAGGTGGAAGGAGTGCCGTAGGTTAGTGCAGTGGCGGTTGGACTGGGCATAGTAGGTGGTGCTTGAAATGGTTGTGGTTGTGGGTGAGGGTATGCCGATGGTTGTGGCGAGGGAAAGGTGGGTGCAGTTGGCGGCTGTGGCAGCGGCCATGTGGGTTGAGGTTGTGTGGTAGGTAATGGTGGTGGTGTAGCGTGAGCATATGGCCATGGAAAATGCATATCGTAGTCGTCGCTATGGCACGGCGCGGCGCAGCAGCAAGGATGCGGCGGAAAAGTGCCGAGTTGTACTGTCATAGTGTTGTTGAAAATCTCATCGCTCGTGTTGACTGGGAGTGTGTTGTAAGGTTGTGCTGGGTGTGAGCTTGTTGTCAAGTGTGATCATGCATCTCGAATTAGATTGGAGAACTCCAATGCACAAGCTTGATTTCTGCTGATGAAAAGGTCACGGCATTAATATAAGATTGCAACATGTGGAAAAAACAAGCATGACAGATCCGAAATCTGATGTATTCGAAAGTAACCGTTTTTGGGCCCGGCGGCCAGTGTATCGGTTGATTCAGTGAGGGTGTCGGTGACTGCCTGTGAGGGTCCAATGAGTGGTGGTGCTTTGGGGTGGTTGCTTTCCCATGCAAAAAGGCGCCCCTGTGACGGGGATCACACTCAGCACCCGAGTGGGACGGCTGAGCGAAACACACTCTGACACTTGTATTCAGTGAACTCAGTTACCACGTTGGGAAGAATGGCGGTGGAACAGCGTGGCGGAAAGTCCGAGAAACTTGTAGGTGTTTGAACAAAGGTTGTTTCCCTTGACTGCGGTGACGAAGCGGCTCAAGCTGCAGCGCTGCTGGGGAGGAAAAGGTTTAGGGAGGGAAACATGAAAGACCATGAAAACAAACCGATCGAATTAGACAGCTTTCTCAAAAGTTCATTGGGCAGGTACACAGAGCTGATCAGGCTCTGCTTCCCAGATGCAAGGTAGCTTTGTTAGGCGCAGTCCCTTGCATCTGCTGCGCCCCCCTGCCTGTAAGGAGTGGTGGTGGAAAACCCTTTGTCCAGGGGTGGACTCCCGTGTTCTTGCAGCTTTTCGGACTCGTCGTGAAGGGGATCGGTCAAAAAACAGTGCCATGTCGGGCGAGAACATGCCTTCATATTGACCTCTGTTTGCAGAATGGTTGAAATCGAACCTTCCACGAAACATGGTGAATCTGTTTCCGATCTTTGTCTGTTCTTCTCCCATTCTTTTCGCTCACCTCTCATTCGTGTCACACACACACAACTCTCAATCAGTCAACCGGTCGGCCAGTCACGTGGTCAATCGCTCCATCAAACAGATTTTCGCTGAGTCCTTCACCACACCTTGAAACTCCATTGGCATCAGAACCTCAGATCCCGAATCAGTTCACACTTTACCGTCTTTCCTTGCAAAAATGTCTCTTGTCTCTTGTGTCTTGCAAACTTTGCCCAAGCACTGGAGCTGGAAGGACCATAGGGTTCAATGGCATGGGATTGTAGACGTAGGCAGCCTCGACACCTCAAATCCCGAATCAACACTAAACACTACCTATATATATATACGCCACTGCTTGTTGACATACCCGAAGCATCCCCAGTACCGCACTGGCGCGGAGCGCTTCATTTTCCTTCAAGATTCACGTTGAGAATGCAAGGCCAATACCACAAGATGATGGCTCGAGGGTTGTTGCAAAAACAAAGGGCGGGCAGTCCTTCGACAAACGCACAATTTCCGATTCAAGCGAGAGCATGTGATTTTCCTGCCTCAATTCCGGCAAATTCAGCCCATTGAGCCGCGACGCCCAAAAATAAGAATAAATCGCTACAACAGCATGACACTCAAGTGATCTGTGCCGAAGTCTATGCCTCACTGCAAAACGCGACCGGAACCAAGAACGAAAAACCTAACCAGCAAGGTGAAACCGCAAAACAACAACACCTTGTTCCACCAAGGAGCAACAAGCGTGCCTTCTGCGCATTGAGCATGTCCTCAAAGTGACCAAGTTAACACTCACAAGTGCGTCGCTATGTTTTACAGTAATAGCGTCCTTGTTCCTAATAGCTTCTTGTTCCTAGTAGTAAGGCCAGGAGCCCCTAGTAGCGTCCTTGCTCCTAGTAGCGATGCCCTTTGCTCCTAGTAGCTATGTTTTGTTCTCCAAAAGGCGCCATTTTACGCTGAGTTTCCACGATCGAGTTCAACGCCTCACCAGGCAACCGGGAAGCGATGCAACTTCCAAGAACCCCTCCCACAACGGTAGATCCATAGCCAAGCAGTTCGTCATATGTTTACGCAGTCTGCTCAAGGTTTCTTATGCTTCCGAAAAAGAAAACATATATATATATATGTTGTTCCTGCGTTTGTTTAAACCTTTGGACATGTTCTTCTTTTGCTTTTGTCTTGTCTGGTGTTTCCGAGCAATCTCTGTAGGACGTTTTTGGAGAACAGTCTTCCAAGCTCCAAGTGTCCAAGAGGGAATGAAACCATCAGGGCTGGAGCAGGCTCCTCTTTTCGGTGGATTCAGGGTTGTCCAAGGCTTGTCCGGAAAGAACAAAAGGTGCCTTACTGTGAGCTCGAAAGTCAGATTCCACAGATTGTGTTTCAATTCTGCTGTGTTCTCGTTTTGTGTCTACCTTTTCGGGTTCTCTACATCGACCTTGTCGACCGTCAGGCCCTTCACATGTTTTTTTCCAGCCTTTCTTGCATGACAGCTGTGGAAAGGATGCAGAACAAGTGGGGGTGTGGGCGATATATGCAGACTTCTTGCCTCTTTTTAACACGTTCTGGAGCACAACTGACTTGAAATCACACATGGATCCCAGCATGTATCTTGACAAACCGAGGTTCTCCCCATATGCACTGCTTCAGCTGCAATTCTTTCCCAAATCATGCATCCAAGGGAGCTGCTTGTAAACGCAGTGGCATCAAGAACCGACGCTGCAAAACCATGTGTATTTCATGCGATCACGACTTTCCTAAAACCATTCGGGGGTTACTGCGGAGTGGGCACCTGCTTTGGTGACAGATGTGCTCCAGGCCCGGCTGGTCAGTCAGGAAAAAAGGACTTGCTTGCATTGTGAAAAACCAGGGACGTGGCTGATGCGCCGGCCTGCGCCTGTATGTTCGTTTTTTGGTTGCTTTCGTGTCTGTGGATGTTCTATTGGCATTGATAATAGAAGTGCTTTAGAAGTGTCTTTGCAGGTGCATCAAACTTCCATAAGATCCACACATTCTTTTTCAAGATGTTTGTGTCGAGCGTTGCTGCAGCGAAACATTTCTTTTGTTAGAAGTGTGAACAAAAGTTGGGACAATTTTCTTCGATTTCAAGGTCGAAGGTTAAATTTGACCTGCGAGCACCGGTCCTTTCTTAACTTCCAAAGCACCGGTCCCATCACATCTTTCAACTCGTGGTTGATGCACACATTGTGTTTCCATTACAACGACAAAACGCGTGACGCCACGTAACCGAGGACTCAACACCGAAAAGGTGCAGGCGCAAACCTTTGTTGTTGCCAACAACTAAACTTGGCCCAAGTTCGGCGCCAAAGTTCAAGGTCTCGTGGGCATGTTCGTTTTTGTGAGCCCTTTCAGTGTTTTGAGGCCTTAGTGTTTGAAAAGTAGGTGAATTACCTGTGTTTTGGGAAGCCAATGAGCATTTTATAGTGTAAATAACAGAGTTTCGTACCGGTTTCAGCGGTGGTTCGTTTCGACGGCCGAAGTAGTTGCCGCAAAGACTTTTCTCAGAGGCTCCCGAGTGCTCTGGTCAGGTCTACATCGGCATCTAAGTTGGAGCGCCAAACGAAAGCGTAAACGTAGTTCATCAGGCGCTCGGAGATGCCACCCCCTTTGCGGTCTTTCACCTTGAGTGTCTTAGGCACAGCTTTCTCCAAGCTTTGCCACCATCGGTCGACACATTGCGTGCCGGAGACAACAAATCACGGACGCTTCCTGCGCTCGACTTTCTTGGCAAATTCATGCTTGTTGTGACTGACATGGAAACTTGCCAACTGCTTCTTGCCTTGGTTTGTGGCCCAGCGTGGATGTGTCAAGTCACGACATCTGGCGTGGCGCTCATCACGACATTTGGTGTGGCACTCATGGTCGGCATTGCGCAGGAACGAAGTAAACGACGGGATAAAACTAGAAGCGCAGCTGTCAACACTGTGTTGGGGGTTCTACCTCGACAAAATTCCAACCAACATCGAAAAAGATTCCCACGTGTTTGTCCAACCAGATCCCAATCTACCCAAGAACGTTCGGAGATCAAACATGTTTGCACAACAAAGTTCAATGTGTCATCCAACAGAGGGGTCGTGAAAATATCAATATATTGATCTAACGTAAAAACGTTAACACGAAAAAGAAGGGCCCAAACACTCCAAATCTGTTTGAGGCGGTTGCCGAACACCACACAAACGAAACAACAAAACCAAACACAACACCGTCGAAACATCCGAAACCGTCATCGTCGAAGCCAAAACTTGCAGTAGGTGAGATACAATGTCGGCATAGAACGTATCCATCAACAACCTCAACCGAACCCCCATGAAAATTGAAAATATCATCACCCCCATGGACGTCATTATCCCACCCCCCCCACCCCCCATGTAACGTCTAAATAGTTCATCAAACATTCTTGTAACATGGACGTCGTCCCCCCCCACCCCCCCAACCGCCCCCCATTGAAAGTCTAAACTAACGTCTTAATATCAATACTATAACATCAACCTCATCGCCGTAACCCCAAAAACGCACACAGTCAGCTCGAAAACGCACAAAGAAGCAGAAAACCAGGGGCCCTATTATGACCGTGTCTCCATCTATCTATCTATGAATATACATATATATATATATTGTTATTGTTATATATATATATATGTAACGCCTTCACTCTTTTCCATGGCCAGCAGTCCACATGGTGCTTGCCAATGGCGGATCTTCCGCCACCAGCGCTGCTGAAAGCTTCAAGAACTTCGGAGGCCTCAACGAACAACGAATGCCCAACATTGCTGCTCCACCCAAATTTGTGCAGCCCACTGGTCCTGCCGTCAATTCAGGTACCGACTAAAATCCTGGGCAATTGTGGCCAACTCTGTGTTCAAAAAAGCCTTTGCTAAAACTCTTGTAAACTGTAATGGCTAAGGCTCAGCCAGTTTTGTGTACCAAACTCCATTTGGGGCATGGCCAGTGAGAGGGATGTGTGGTTTCCCACTCGAAAGGCAGCAGGCCCTTTTGGCGCCGATGCACCGATACGACTGAAGTATATTCAAGTTGATGTGGATGCCCATCAGGGTAGTAGGTTTCTTCCAGGGGGTGCCAAACATGCAGAAGTCGAGATGCACCTCGGTAGCTGCCCGGCGGCGCAGCAGCCGCTGAACGCTGCTGGTAATCCTCAGACGGGATCGCCTTGGATTTTCAAGGGCCATGGCAAGTCGATAGCGCAGGGCCATCATGAGCACTCAGCAAGAGAAGAAAGGCAACACGTTGCCCAGCTTAATGCAACCGTAGGCCAGGAAGGCCCATCGGGCACTTGTCGCTTCGCAGTGGGGGTGGTCCCCCGAGCTGGTCTCGTGCTCTTGAAAAACTGTTGCGCGGAGTTCCCAAGTGGCCAGCGCGCACCTGGCCGGTTTGAATCCAACGCAAGATCTTCTTTTGGTTCTGTCTGCATGTCAGGTCATACTCTGGGCCATAGGTGATATCCCACAACAAGACGGGCCATCCACAAACACGGTGTACGCTCTTACCAAGGCGTCCACAGCCACTAAAATCTCCAGAAAAATTGCTCAATGCAAAACAACACTCTTGCTCAATGCAGGTTGAGGAAACTTTTGGCCATGTTTTGGAATGCCTCGGTTCCGCGCTTTTGGACGCAGCCTGCCTCCCTTCTCGTAATTCTTCGCGGACTTCACGGTCTGCCACCGGCCCCAAGGCTTGGATGCCCACCATGTCCCGGAACTTTCCGGCTGCCTCGAAACTCGCTCCCCCATGCCTTAGTCTGTATAGGTGTGGAGGCCCGAGGCTGATGAGTTTCAAGGCCTTCCACTGCATCTCCACAAAGTCGTTGATCTCCTCCAGTGTGACCCGGAAGGCCAGCTCGTCCTTTGCCCGGCTTGGAAGGTCCAGGATCTTGGTGAGGGCTGGACCCAGAAACTGACGGTGTGGCAAGTCCAATGTTAACATCTCGTTCCTTTTTTTGGTCTTGGAGGGAACGCCTGCGTCGGCTGGATGGCCAGCAGGACGGCATCATGGGGGTACCGCCTGCCTTTGGTCTTCACTGTCCTCCGCCCTCAGTGTTGTGATCTCCGACGGCCTCAGGTAGAGCAGAAACATAAGCCGTAAGGCCACTGCCAACTCCAGTTGCTTGCTCCTTAGAGCCACCTCGCTGAGCAGGCATATGACCTCGTAAGGAACTAGCGTGGACACAACCGTCTCCAGCCCCTCATCGCCTGCTGCGACTTGGGCAGCTGATGCAACCCTTTTGTGCCCAGGTTCTTGAACATCACTGCCGCTGTTGCGTAGTTTGCATGACTGAGGTCTTCCCCACGATGGTGCAACTCCTCCAGAAAGTCCACCAGTTGGTTGTCCAGTGTTCGGAGGTCCATCCCTTCCCTCACCAGACCCCCGACCAGTCCACCGACTCTTTCCAGTGTTTGTTGTACTGTTGTAGTGTTCTTGGTCCCACCGCATTGTTCCGGAGCGGGCGCTGTGGGTTCTGTTCCTTTGCTATTTTGCTCTTCTTGCAGCCCTCTTTCTCCTTTTTTCCCCACCACTGTCTGCCACCAGGTCAGCAGGGCTGTTGGAGGGGCTGTCCTCGGGGCCTGAAAGTTCCCCTCTTGGCTACCTCCATTGCATTTCCAATGCTGTCACCAGCGGCCAAATGGATTCCCTCCGGCTCTTCAAACCAGCAATTTGCCCTCGGCAATCCAGGATCAATCGCAGCATGCGTCCCTTCTTTTTGACAAAGAAAATGCAAACCTTCTCAACTGGGGCCTCCCGCTGAAAGGAGGCCAGGTTCAGGGTTTGTACAAATGATTTTGTATTTGGTCGGATCTCGGAGCCGTGGATCCTCATAGCGCTTCGCAACACCGCTCGCCTCCAACTTCTCGCGAGCCTCTGCAGCCCTAAGCGTCTGAGCGCGAACGAAATCCTCTGGCATCTTGTCCCCCGCCGGCAGCGACGCAAGTTCGGGATCGAAGGACCCAAGCGGCGATGCTGTGGGCAACTCGGCATACCCCTCTTGAACCCGAAGCTCCTCAAGGGCCTTGGCCGGAAAGCTTGGGCGCCCTTTGCTGGTGGCCTGATGATTCAGAGCGGATCTGGGCTCCAGGCCCCTGCGTGGGCGGCCATACACGACTGAACCGTGCGTTCAACCTCCTCCTATCCTCTGTCGGCTCTTCCGTGAGAAAAGTCCCAAGGGTGGCAATGTATGCTGTACATGAGGTAAAGGGAATATATATCTCTGTCTGTCTTCCGAGTGTTGTCCAGTCCTCGACTGCTTGCCGCCCTTGCGTCTTGCGACCTCCCTCTCCTCTTGAGCCTTCCTCAAATTCTTGGCCAAAGATGCTTCCCGCTCGGTCTCCTCCTTCACATGGGTAAGCAGCTCCGGACAGATCATCAAGGTCGAGAACTGGCGGGTGACCCCGCCAAAGGTTGTCTGCTCCTCTAGCGAAAGCCTTCCAACAACTGACTTGGCCATCTCCCGTGCCTTCTCTGTCCTGCGCATAGGAGTATATGCCCACACATTCTGATGCCAACCACTTCAACTCCCCAGCAGCAAAACCAGCCTCCGGAGCGCTGCTACGGCCGGTGCTGCCGGCGCCGGTGCTGGTGCCGCACCTCTCTGAAGATCTATCAGGCGCCTTGCCTCGTCCCTGAAACCCGCCATGTCGTTGATGGTGAAGACCGGTAGGGCGTAAACCTCAGCAGCCGTCACTCCACGTGGGAGGATTCCAGGTCCAGGGCGAATCATCATGCTCCTGATGTCCGAGTTCAGCACGGTCAAGTCTTCTAGATACACATCCCTGTCTGGGGTCACTATTGCATAGGTGTTATTTTGATAGTGCTCCAGGACATACCTTTCGTGAAGTAGTCGGCCACCTCCAACGTCATACTCGATCCGGTGTGCCAGGGTCTTCCAGTGCTTCTGTAATCTGCTGGCGCTGCCGCCAGAAAAGGCCAATCAACACCAATGCAAGCAGAATCAAACACATTGTAAACAACCCAGAGCACGCACTCGATGTTGCACTCCAAAACTTTCCCCAGCCCGGTGCCCTCAAACCGTCCTCCGAAACCAGTGGCGGATTTGAGGGGTTTCCGACCGGAGGAGGAGTAGGAGGATCTGGCACAGTCGACACCTGATCTTGCAAAGTCTGATGGAGGTCAAGCGAAGCTTGGAGGTCCAACACCTGTGCTTGCATTTGTCTTTGCTCTACAATGCTCCAGCCAACCAACCCGAGACCAAACAAATGCAGCGCAAGGAAGTATGGCACAACCGCGGAGTGAAGTCCTGCACCCATCAGACCCTTGTTGCTTGAGAGCGGTGTCACGGCGGCCATTCGTAATCGACCGGCTCCTCAAACCTGTCAAGACAAATATTATAATATGTATTAAAATATTGATCTAAGGCTAAGGAAAACACGTTCAACCGCCACAATGGTTGTAAACATTGCAAGAAGAAACAACCGAAACAACAACACTAAAACACACACGGTCGCTACTTCTCGGGCCTTCATGTAAAAAAGCTTCGGAAACGCACCGTCTCAGGTACATGCGCGCGAAACGAAAGTACGTCGTCACAAGCACTGCAAGTGTGTGTGCGAATGCATCGAAGCAACTGTAATTGAAAGAAATACGTCGTAATGCACGAAGGAAATGTCTCAGTGAGGTACGTATAGTATAAGTGCATACGTACATCACTACAAGCACCTCATGACCCCCCACCCCAGACAACCAAAAAACAAAGTACGTGACAGGCGCAAGGGTGGCATATCAGCCGCGGACCACAAACAATCAGTTGTCCAGATTTCTATCGGCAACAGTGAGAACTCCTCAATTGCACAAAACAAAAAACACATTTACAATTTCCTGTACCTTTCTGGTGCACAGCAGCATTGTGTCAGAAGGCAACTATGTTCATTGATCCAGCCTCTTGAGAAGGTTCATGAGCCTGAGAAATTGAGAATGACATGTTCAACCATTGTATTTGAATATCTAGCGACCGGTGCGGTCGACTCCCACCTCATCAAGGAGTGATTCCCACTCGGAGCTGGAAGGAGTCACGGCGGGCCTGGTTCACTCTCCGAAGCTGCCGAAACCGCTCTCGGCCTTCTTCGTAGCGATGCCAGGAGCCCCTAGTAGCTTCTTGTTACTCCTTAATAAGGATGGTCAGTAATCCTTAATAAGGAGGCCCTTACATTTGGTTGTCTGTTTTCAGGTAAGCCCTCTACATTGATCCAGTGCTTGTACTTTGGGTTCCTCGAAAGCAAGCGAAGACTTCAAAGCTGTGGCGAAATGACTCCGTCTTTCCAAATCGCTCCCGAGCGCTTCTTCAAGGAAGCTTGGGAGCTTCCCCAGCTTCCTTGAAGAAGCGTGAGCTATCCGTCCTAGTAGCGTTCTTGTTACTACTAGTAAGGCACTTGTTACTAGTAGCCATGCACTTGTTACTACTAGCTACCTCTCCCTACTAATACTAGCTACCTCTCCCTACTAGCTACCTACGGTCTGAAAAGAAGCGTTGCAAGTTGCACATGCGTTGCACATCGCAATCAGTCTCTGCTCCTTCGCTGTAAGTATGAGGGCGCGTTGGCATGCGGGAACCTTCAGAGCCTGGTGTGAGATTGTGACATGTATTTTCTTCAAACAAGAAATTAGGGCCTTGAGCGCCTTAAGGGCCTAAGAACGCAACCTTTAAAGAGGCCCTCTTAAAGGGGCCCTTTCTTCCTGACTTGTCCCTTTGTAGCGTACGTTGATCGTTCTTACAACAGCAAAGCGTGGCAAAGCATCCAAGACCGAATCAGCCATGTCCGATGCAAGATGAAAGCAAATGACAAAGCCAAAGAAGCAAAAAGAAGCAACAGAAAAATACAGCAAATGAAGAAGCAAGTTTGGTTGAAGCAAATGCTTCTTGAAAAATAGTCTGGACATGATAACAAGAGCGCTTTCTTTCAGACTTGTCGGCAAATAAAACATAATACTTGTCGCATCGTTATATCTGTTTCGCGTCTCTTTTGTCGTCTTTCTTTGTACCCTGCCTTTCTTTCGTTCTTTCTTTCTTTGTTTTCTTTTGACATCTTTTGACCTTTCTGTTCTTCCTTTTCTAGAATCTTCTCTCCGACAGCGCGTTGTACCCTGAGACGCCGACAAAGGGATGACAAGAGACGGCCTGGTACCGGAGATCCTTTTGTCTCCGATGGATGGGCAAGACCAAATGCAGCCTCCAAGCACTAGCAACAAAGAGCAAACGGCTTTTATGCATGGCCTGCATAAGTTGATTCGAGTTGAAGTCTAAGTTTTGGAGGTTCTGAGTCTCCTATTGGTTTGTCCTGCAACCTGCAGCAAAGACAAGCAACTTGCACAAATGCTTGAGGGGTGGCCTATATTGAGGCTTGTACGAGATCAAACCTCCTTTGGTGCTTCTTTTGTTTGTAGACCGAGCAGCGGCCATTTGGAAGATGACAAGGCACGGCAAGATCCACGCTTGTTGCCTCAGAGTCAGGGTGAACCCACCTTCCAAGCCGTGATCAAAGTGGATTCAATGAGTTCCAATGGCCTCCAACCTAATAGCGACGGCCTCCAACCTATTAGTTGGACTATGTGCACATAAGATGATGAACTCAAAGTGGGCCTTGTATGACCGTCACATAAGGTGGCAAGATCTGCACCAGGACTTATCCAACTGTGAGCCGTGAAACGGCCAAAAGAGATGCAAAATGCGAAATGAGCTTCAGATCATTGGGAGCCGACGAGTCAAAGGCTACACGCTCTTTCAAACCGGTTGGCTCCTTCATTTTTTGGCCTTGCTTCGCTACGGTCTCATATTCGGGAGCATTGAAAGATACCCTATCTAAGGGCACATCTTCCAAATTGCCGCTACCGCATTCAATTCCATTTGATCCTAAAAAGGCTTGTATCAGCATCGCTGATGCAAACTCGATTACTGTATATATTTCTCATGCTGACTCATGGGAGCAAAATGAATTCACTTTTCATCACGTGAAGAGTTGAATAAAGTTGAACAGTTATGTACTTCACAATGATCTCACGCTCAAAAAGTGATTTGGTGTGACAACCGCCAAGAACTTTCACTTCACACACTGTGTGGCATGTTCTGGTAACATGGTCAAGCAATGTCGGGTGATCCGATTTGATGCCATCTGTCATGCCAAGACATATCATGTAGGGAGTTGGAGGCCATCGCTTGTGGGATGGAGGCCATTGCTATTGGGTGGAAGGCCATCACTCTTAGGTTGGAGGCCATCGTTCTCAGGTTGAAGGCCATCGTTCTTATGTTGGAGGCCATCGCTCTTGGGTTAGTAGGTTGGAGGTCATGTTTGATGTTTCGCCAGGTGTGAAGAGCCATTGTGCAAAGTACTGTATCGGGCATGTGTGATGAGCCTGACTTGAGATGTGGCGTGATGAATCGCGATGTGTCCGAGTGGCATCCAGTTTGACATACCTGACATTGAAGTTTAGAAAGCTGTGTGAAGGCTAGCATAAGCAACCAAGATTCTTAGACCTTCAGTTGGTCACCGAAGAAAAGAAAGCCAGCTGCATGCACGGCATTGCACAGCTATGCATGAACGATCGTCTCATATCTGCATTTCCTAGCGAGCACATCAAGAACAAGTCCAGGATCCAAATCGAATTCCTTAGGTCAAAGGAAACACTCTTTTTGTTCGCGCTTCCGTGCCGATGCACTTTGGCTGAAGGTGAGTGGCTCCATTGCTAGTGCTAGACAGAATCGGGAAATATGACACATTTGTTTTGAGGAATTTGAACATGTTTTGTCCCGCTTGTGTGTTGTAACCAAGGCTAGCGGCTAGCACTACTCTCCTACCCACTCATTCCAGCCACTACCTGGATTATCCCAAGGCCCGGATGGCGTAGACTCCTGCTTCACAGGTGCCTCAGCCTCCTGAAGCACACACGGAATGCGAAAAACTCAGGCATATGCCTAGCACGCTTTAGACGGAGACGAAAGGGGGGTAGGCTAAGACGGCGAAAAGGAAAGAAAATACCCTCCTAGCTGGAGGGCTTGGCAGCTAGCCTACTTGAAGAACCCTTCGCAAAAAGCACTTGGGGTCTCCTGCTCTTTATTTTGAGCATGCCACATCTCCCACGCTTCTTGGGCTGCCTCTAGGCATCCATTACCTCAAATGCGGTGCGCACACAATCAGACTTTTAGACATGGAATGCACCTTTGGACTTTGAGTTCGGCCGCGTCACAAACAAAGTCCGTCTGTGCGAATTGTGACCTACCTGGAAGGAGATTCATCAAGCACACGCCCAGCCCAAAAGTGGGTGCGAATAGACCCAACATGATCTCAAAGCATCTCACCTTCTTCTCCGTGCAACTGGCCAAACGCTTGGGGGCACTCGCGTTCACACCAGCCGCATTGCACTGCAGCCCCGGGATTGGGATACCAAAGGTCCTGCAAGTTCCAAATGAAGAATTTCGACGTGTCATCTGCCCCGGACCTGTTTTGCAATCAAAGGAATCACTGCGTCCTCTGAGCGATGGCTCTCCACTTGGATCAGCTGTTTCAGCCCTTAATTCACAACGAAAAAAGGCTTTCGGGTTGCGAAAGGAGTGGTGGCTGGCAAGTTTCCGAGCAAGTTATCTCCAAAACAGTGTTGAAAGTAGACAGCACACATCTTCGATAAACAAAATCAGCAAACAAACTAGGACACCCAAGCAAAATCAAATCAAGAAAAAACAAGAAAGCCATAAAAAAAAAACCCACACATTTCAACAGGAAATGGGAGGAGTTGGCACGAAGACCAATCACGGCCCTTGGACGTGGGATTTGCAACCCACTGGTGCCGCTTGGAGTGGCAGCTTCGAGGGAGGACTTAGGACTGCAAACGAAAAACGTTTTGGTAAACGTCAACCGTTTCGGCCATGCAAAGACTTTTTTTCGTTGCCTTTACTCGCCAACTTGGCCTTTTTCTCCCTTCGCAACCCTCAAAGCTTGAGAGCACGCTGCCAAGCACCAAACCAAATGATCAACACGTGGCACTTCGCACCAGCAACGCCACAACTGACTACCACACGACATCGACAACAAGTACACAAGCCCCCGAACAACATGCGGTCAATTGTTTTGCTTTCACATGGGGTACAGAGAGAAAACCTGTTGCAGCGCCAAAAAACATGACTCGCTTTTGTCCAATGGGGTCTTCAGCCATGGTTCCCAACAGCCAGCGAAGCTTATGGGGTCTTTAGAGTAAAGACTATGGAGCAGATCGGAGCAGGTCCCAGTTCCGGAGCAGCATCCAGAGCAGACTTATTGACGAAGTTAAAGTCTGCGCATGTTATGTGCCAACGACTGGGGTCGTGGCTAAGCCGTGTGTCAAGCTCCTTTGCGCGGCCACCCACTTGGAAAACGCAAGCGCTTCGATTCAAAATGAAAAAACCTGAATTCCGTTGTGTTTCGACCAGTTCGTTCAAAAACGCGCGGCTCCTAGATAACATCTAGTAACGCCCCACTTCTTCGCTGCGCATTGGGCGTTCAGGCGGGGCAAGGCTTCATGAACCTTTGCGTCCATGCGCTTATATCACGGCGAAAAGTGCACGACAACATCCTTGGCCAAGCCGAGATCCATCTACGTCAACACACATCATGCCAGATGACCGAAGTTCCGAAAAGAACAATGTGACAGCTGGCATATTTCCGAATCTTTGTAGCTCATGTTGTGGCGCAGCGTGTTCCTATTCAAGGTCTTGCTGAAGTTCTCTGCAGTTGGTGAAAAATCAATCGCCCAGCTACCCAAACTTGAAAAGTTCGCCCAAAGTCTTTTGAGGCGCGTCGAGGACCTGCTCTTGCCTGCTGCGCGCGGCTACGCTGAGCTGTCAGCAAGGGCCACTCAGGAACAATGACGCGCATTGACGCCGCAGGTCGGCGTATCCACCCAGGCAAGTGAAGCGCAAAATTCGCCTTGCTTTGTTGCGGGCATTCCCTCAGCTCCGCACCTCGGCGTCCAACCAAGGCGAAGGTCACGACGAAATCTGTCGTTGCTGCACATGCCAACTCACAAGACATAAGGCAAGAAGAGAGGGGCTACTCAAATTCAACACAACCTCCTCGTTGGCGAAGTGAAGCTGACCGGACAAGAGCGGGAATCCAGCCCGGCAACAAACAAGTCTCAAGGGTCACCTTGCCAGTCAGCCACACTACCTGCAGGGCTGGAGGCCTGCAGGCCTGCTCATCCAGCAACATAGCTCGGAAGGAAGCCCTCGCTGATCCACCTCCACTTTTCGCGGCGGCGCCACAGAGGGGCTCAGCTATGCGCCAAGCCAAGTTGCTTCTTCAAGAGCCCCCTCGGTGTGTCATCAAACGCCCCCTGCTTGCTGTGGATGACATCTCGCACAGAAGAATGGAAGAGTGGATCACAGTGCCCGCTTGCCGCAGGACGTCAGCCGCAGTGACGGACCAATCGTTGGAGGACATCCTTTTGGACTGTGGCACAAGAGCCCAATGACATGGCAACCGTCGAGCTGTTTGTCGAGTCAGTCAAGCACACCAATGCAGTGACAAACAGCGACAGCTCCAGCTGCGCAGCTATCCAGTCCTGCAAAGGAGCTTAACGGGAAGAGAAACCGCCCGTCAGCCAGAATCCATGCTGCAATCTCCAAAATATCACTGCGAATTCTGAAAGAATGGAGGTCTCGAGCCACAAGCAGCAACGGCAGACTCTGGCTGCTAAAGTATTGCTTGTTGGTTTGCCTTCAATTTTGATTGCTTCACGCTGAGATTGCATTTGCTCTGCAAAAATGCAACGAACAATATCTGTCCCATGATTGTCTGTCCCATTCTGTTTGTTCCAGCAGTCCCTGTATGAAGGCATTTTGACAATTGGGGAAAGACTGCAGCGCCCAGGATGTCTTTTTGGCCCCCAACCGGTTGGATCGTCCAATAGATAGCCATCCGCAGCACCGATCTGCACAGGTTCCCGAGGCGAAGGATATGGTACGCCTTCTCGTTTCCTCTTTTTGCGCTTTCCCGTTTTCTTTTGGACTGAAAGAGACATCTTGAGACGTCCTGAGACCTGTTAATGACATTCTTTTGTGTGAGATCTTTGGGTCTGGATCACCCAGCCCATCATGGCCCATCTTTCAACAATTCAAAATGCATCTGGAATCACGAACTGAGGCAAACAGGAGAACATGTTCCTCCCAAGATGCGTGCTCCTTTGGTTACAAATTGGAAGCTGGCCTTGGCAAAAGAAACGGAATTTCTTTGTTGCTGCTTCTCGCCACGTCTTATATTTGATCGGGCTGGCGGCAAGCTCCTTGCACGAACTGACTGAGTCCACGAAATGTGTTTTTCTTCCTTTACTTGCTGCTACTTGCTACTTTATGTCTTTTCTTTACAAAAGTCTTTGCACCATTTTGCACCGTTTGTTCTTTCTCCTCTTGGCATCGAAACTTGAACACGACCGAAGGGACAAGCTGAGCGCAATCACTCCTATGCATTGGCCGGTTGGTTTCTTCACACACCACCTGCTCTGCGCAGGTTTCTTCTGCATCCGCATCCTCGGCCTCCAGCAGCATGGGACCCTGTCACACTACACTAGCACGAGCCTGCACCTTGCACTAGGCACGTTACATTTCTGCATTGGGGGTACCTTGGAGTAAAGTTTGCATTTTCGAGACCTGATCTTACATTCTGAGGCCTAAGTCAGTGATACTTCCAATGATGGTGAATAGAAATGAAAACAGTTTTTCAATCTCTTCTAGTTTGTGATGTGGTGGTTGTCTGCTTTGATTTTGCGTGCACAGAACAATCCTCGAGTACACTTTTGTTGACCTTGCTCGATTTCTTGCTCAAATCTTCTGCGTGTTTTGTTAATCTCTATCTTTCTGCATATATATATACATCTAGTATATATATATTTTTTGCTTTCTGGGGCCTCTATTCTTGATCGGAAGAGACTAGTTATCACTACCTTCGCTTACTTCACCTTCTCGCTTCGCATTTCGC